TATGAAGTATTTATGATGAAAAATATTATCCATCTCCAGAGAAAGAATTGATGAAATCTGAATGCAAATCAATGCTTAGGGTTTTTTTTGCTTTTATTCTGTTTTGTTTTTCACAACTTCAGTAAAATAGAAATATATTTTGTGTGATTGCATATGTATCCTTTCTATCAAATTGATTGCTTTCTAAATAGAGGGAGGAAGGGAGAGAATTTAAAACTCAAAAAAAGTTTAAATGAATGTATAAAAAATTTTAACATGTAATTGAAGAAAAATAAAATATGAAATTAGGTAAGGCACTACTATTATACTTAGGAGTATTAGCTTCATGCAGGAATTCATATTCAGACTGTATTGGGAGGCTGGTGACTCGATTGAAAAAGAGTGAGGATACAAGGCCTGGGATCCCTCAGGACATCCCCCAAACCCAAGCCAGGCCAAGGTTACTAATGAAAGTTCCCATAATAAGGTGTTAGATTTCTTCTGCTTGTGACAACCTCTTTAATAGCTGCACCTCTAGTCTCTTGGGTCTCAGGAAAGTTTTTCTCCTCTGTGTGATTAGTTGATGACTGGACCCTTGTCATTATTCATTAGTAATTGCAGGTGGGGAATTCTCAATCAGTATGAATCCTTGAAGACATTTTCATCTGGGACAAAAGTTCACTCTTTTAGACATATCCCTTTTTCCTTGGTAGACTAATGTCATTGATCCTGCTCATGACATGATAATCACAGCTATGGGGGCAGATGAGCTCATATAATTCAGTCTTTATAACTAGAATCTGCCTGTGCTATCACACAAGTGCACACACACACACACAGACACATGTATAAAGGGATATATTCTGTTTGGTGCAGCTCTTTCTTCCATCCCAGAAGCAGAAAACAATCAGGTGAGTATCTTCTTATATCCCAGCTTTATATCTAGAAGCTTTACAGCAGAACATCTCTTCCAGCAGACAATTAGAGAGTTAAAACATTGTTTGGGCCCTGTGTGCCCAGAGATAGGAAATGGATTTTGAAAAGCTCATGGAAGATGGGTTGGAATTTTTCCATGGTATCTTAGTGCATCCCTGTCTTTATTAAGATCCTAGTCCATGACTAGTCCATGACTACCCATCTCTAATAAGCAATGTTTGAACATCCTTTAACTCTTGTCTCTGTCTTGAGAACTCCCTAGATATTTATTCAACACATGTTGTCAAGGATATTTTCCCAAGCTTCACTCTCCTGACTCTCCTGGTCTTTTTGGCTTTTGCAATCTCTGATTCTACCTTCTCAGCATTCTGACTATTATGTCAACCCATTTCTTTCCTGGCAGTCAAACTGAAGCTTTTGTTTTTCTTCTCCCCTCCAAACCATCCCCTTCCTTCTCCTTCCTCTTCCCTGCTCTCTCTTTTCTACTTTTAGCTTATCTCTCTCTGCTCTGAGCTGCTCTGAAGCCTTTTGCCTCTCTCTCATATCCATGCTTTGAGGAATCTTTGAGCCCTTTGTCTCTCTCTCCTCTTGATGCTTTACTTTCTTGTTTTATTTTTTTTCAAACTGCTCATTGTCCTTTTAGATCTCTACCTGCTTTCTTCACTTTTACTCTTTATAGGTCTGAGATAATTTCTTCCTTATCTTTTCTTTTCCTTTTTATGAGATTCTCTCCTTTCCATGTTGTGATATCCTCTGAGATCTCCTTTCTTACCTCTTACTTCCCTGCTTGCATTTGAGATCTCCTTTCTCCTCATACTTACTCACTCCTAGAGCTGAATTGGCCTAAGGAATACACAGAAAGGGATAAAACTCAAAGGCAGAGCACTGATTTAATGTTCTCATAGTCTAGTCTTAGCTTTCCTATTCCTAAATAATTGTCATATCTTGTGCAATAAGTCTGAAAATCTTGGGCTACACACAGAGAATGGGAACTCCTCAGTTCTTTTCCAACCTTTCCTTTTCAGTAAGAGAAGCTATGCATTTTCTCCCTCCTGCATAGAGCAGAACTCAGAGCCTGGAATGTTATATTACGATTGGGGGGAGTGGTGACGTTTCTTTTTTGTTTGCTTGTTTGTTTTCCCATACACCAGTAGGACTCTTTCCTAAGTCTTTATTTGCAACTTGGCATATGAAGAACTAATTCTGTGACCTTTCACCTTTGACTTTGGGAGAGATAGGAACCTACACTCAATAATGACAGTAATTTCTCGACTGGGCAAGAGACATAAATTGAATGTCCAATATTAGTAAGCGCACAACGATATTTACATTCCATATGATATGGAGTGAGATTTCTAGTCTGGTTTTTCTTTTGTAAGCTATGTGTTAATCATTTCACTTTAGCTGTAAACTCTTTGCTCAAAAAGTGTATAGTCAATAATTATTTCTTAATAACTTTCTCAGCTTCATTCAATGGCCTTTCCTTAATTTCTATAACAACTCTACCACCATTCTCATCACCCCTTAAGGCCGACAACTGTGTGCTATGTCTTTTTCGAATCTGTTCTACCCTCACATTAATCTCTAATTGGATTAACCTCCACATTTCCCTCTTACCTATTTTTAAGCTCACTATTTCCTGATAGCTTGCTTCTAATTTTCCTTATTCATTCTTTACCAAGTCCGTCTTCCTCTACCTTCCTTCATCTTTTTTATATTCTCCCTAACCCCTCTTGTTCTGGCTTCTCTTTCAACCTTCTTTCACAGAATCTACAAGTAGAAACAAGTAAGAGGGTTTCACTTTGGTTAGTAATATGTTCCAATCCCCATCTCACCCCCAAACCTTATTTTTGGATCTTAACAATTTCCTCAACACTCTCAAACATATTTTGCCTCCTGACAGACTTTATATAGAATTAGTTTTTTAATCTATTTTTTCATCATTTTTAAATTTTTAAAAATTGAATGATTAGCTAAGTGGCCACTAAGGTGCATTCTTCCTCTAAATCTGTGAAAATAGATTATCCTTGGCAAGTGTTATACAAGCTCCAATTATTTTTCATGGTGGTCTTTTTTCCCCCCCAATACATATTTTGAGTATCACAATACATGATGATAACATGTGTTCTTTCTTTTCCCTGGAAACACTTTGTCACCTACTTCATTTAAATCTTCATGAAGAATCTTTGATCCAGTCTTTCATTTAACTCTGATATCTTTTTTTCATGTCTTCTGATTTAATTTATACCATTTTTCTGGTCACTGTGTAAGCACCTCACACTTAGAAAAACAAGAATTTAATTAATAGTTCCCTGTTATCTAAAACCTTTGTAGTTTTTAACACATTTAGGCCCACTGTCTTTCACTTTCTTGTTGTCAATATAGAAATAGAAGTTATTGAACAATGATGAGGGACACTTTGTATTTTCTTTATTTTACAGGTTGCCATGACCAAAGAAAAGATTCATTCTATTTTTAGGACCTACTAGAAGATTTGTCAGAATGTTCAAATCAATTAGAGATGTATTCCACTCACAAAAAACCAGGAGAGTTACTTGTACACTGGAATGAAAATTAGCAATTTTAAGGTAAATAAGCAAATTTAGTAAATAAGGTAAATAAGCAATTTAAATATAGAGAAAAAGAAAAAAATGTTATATATGTACAAGCTATGCATTTGCTCGGTGCTGTCTGAGATCATACTTGTGAAGCACTTAGCACAGTGACTAGAAAATGGTAGGCACCCTTTAAATGCTAAATCCTCTTATTATTTTTAATTACTATTGTTGTTATTGTTGCATTGTTACACTTACGTCTACTTTTCCATATCTTCTGCCTTGCTATTTCTGTTTTTAAAAATTATAGGCAGTGTTAATGTTGCTATAATTCTTGATTGCATAATTCTCCATATATTCTTGTATTTTTGATAGACCATAAGCTATTTGAAATAAGGAATTATCTTTTTTTTTAATTTGTATCCCTAAGCCCTTGGACGTTACCTGGCATTTAATTTGCATTTAACAATCATTCATTTATTAACAACTTGATTCTTCATATTTCTTTTTTCTAATAGAACTCTGTTATTCTTTTCCATTAATATACCAAAATTTACAGAACATTCCTAAATTGATGTACTTGTTGGTTGTTTTGAGATTTAATTATAATTAATCAATCATTAATATTTTGGGGGCAAGTAAGAGCATTTCCTTCCTTTAAAGGTATTTTATTTGATTAAAATGTTGGGCATGTTTTGCAATTCCTAAAATATTTCCAACTTAAAGTTCAAAACATTTCTTACAATCTTTATTGAAATAAAAAAAATGTAATAATTTTCCCCCCACATCACAACTACTAAATTTGACCATTTTATAAGCTTAAGTTGCTAGATTAATATTTATAAAGATGATAATGCATATTAATAAATAATGAGAAAGTGGTTTATTTTAAGGTGCCTTAAAGCTTGCCAATCACTTCCCATGTTATCTCATTTTATCCTAACAAACACCTTATTAAATAGATATTATTGCCATTCCTTTTAATGGGAGAGGCAACTGAGCTGAAATAAAGGTTTTTGTTTTGTCCAGGGTCATAGGATAATCTGCGGTAATTTCTCACTTTAAACTGTCATTTTTATTATTTTAGTTTTCTTTATCATATTTTAATAATGTTTTCTGAAAATATTCCCACATATCCAGCCTTTTGGAATTCAACTTATGAATTCATCTTTAGAGCATCAGGGTCAAAACTAGCAAAAGAAAAAAATGGTTCTGGATCGAAACATAGACTTTTCTTGTCATATCTGTATTTCTGAATTATATTCTGAGTTATATTCTGAAATATATTATTTCTGAATATTTTGCAAACTTTCATATCCTGGATATCAAGGAAAAAAACAAGAAATACAAACCAGTGTCAGAGGTTTAAGTGTAATTATATCATAATTCAGCCCAACACACAGGTTTTCTCAAAGTTCCCTAAAAAAGCCCCATTCTTTTTCATAGCACACTTTAGAAATTAAACAAATCTTCCATTTTCCCACAGGATTTGTGAGCACTGACCACAGTTCTTTGCAAGAACTGGAGAAAATGAAGCTTAGTGACTTGGTGTTGGGCATTCTGTTCCTTATTCAGATGGGAGTTGGGATTCTTGGGAATTTCTTCCTCCTGGGCCTCTACAGCTTCACTTTGCTCATTGGCCAAAGGCTGAGGCCCAGAGAGTGTCTTTTTGTCCACTTGGCTTTGGCCAACTCAAGTGTGCTTCTCTCCAAGGGAATTCCTCATATGATTGCCTGGTTAGGCACCAAAAATTTCTTGGACAGTCTTGGGTGTAAACTTATTGTTTATCTAAATAACGTGGCTCGGAGTGTTTGCCTCGGCATCACCTGCCTCTTCAGTGGATTTCAGGTCATCACCATCAGTCCCGGTAACTCCAGGTGGGCAGAACTCAAAATCAAAGCCCCAAAGTGTGTTGTCCCTACCTGCTTCCTCTGCTGGTGTTTCTACCTACTGATAAATCTCACTTTGCTTGGGACTATGCATAACTCAAGGTATATGATTAATAGTACAAGGATGCGGCATCTGGGATATTGTTCAATTTTAGCTCCTGATTCTTTTAATGCCTCACTTTTTGCCATTGTCTTTTTTATTCCTGATGTCATATGTGTGGGATTCATGATCTGGGCCAGTGCCTACCTAGTGCTTCTCCTGCACAGACACCACCAGCAAGTCCAACATATTCACAGTCTTCTGCTCTCTCCCAGAACATCCCCTGAAAAATGAGCCATCCATGTAGTCCTCCTATTAGTGAGCACATATGCCTCCTTTTATTCCATTAATTCTAGCTTGTCATTCTACCTTTTTAAAATTGAGAATCATCCGCCTTGGCTCATTGCCATCTCTGACCTCCTAGCAGCATGGTTTCCAACCACCAGCCCTTTTATGCTGATCTTCTGTGACTCTCAAGTCCATAAATATTGGTATGTTCTGTGGTATAGGAAATGTTCCTGTCTCCTGTGCCACAGTTTCCCTAACTGTATACCCTCCCAGAGTTCGACTTTAGAACTATGACAAATAACTCACTTTCTGAAGCTGGTGGGAGAGGGACAAGGTCACTGAAATCTAAGGATTATAGGGCTTAATGTTATTATATATTCACTCTTTCCTCTTTAAAGCAGTCTTCTAGTCCGCAATTGTGTCTTCTGCTCTTGGTGAAACACATTACAAGTGACATAGTTCTTAAACTGACGTCTACTGATTTCAAATCCACTTTTCCTTCTATTAGACCAATGATGTCAAGCTCAAATAGAAAGAGAGGCCACTGAGACATATATAAGCATCCCTGAGTATCATATATCTTCATTTTATTTATTTTTTTGATATAAATTTATTTTTAGTTTTCAACATTTACTTCCACAAGATTTTGAGTTCCAAATTTTCACCCCATCTCACCCTTCCCCCCACCCCAAGATGGCATGTATTCTGAATACCCCTTCCCCTAGTTTGCCCTGTCTTCTATCTCTCATCTCCCTTTTCTTATCCCCTTCCCCTTCTAATTTCATGTAGAGCAGGATAGACTTCTATACCCCATTTCCTGTATTTCTTATTTCCCAGTTGCATGTGAAAACTTTTTTTTTTCAACATGTGTTTTTAAAACTTTGGGTTCCAAATTTTCTGCCTTCCTCCCTCCCCACCCACTCTCATTGAAAAGGCAAGCAACTCAATAGAGGTTATACATACGCAGTTATGTAAAACACTTCCATAGTAGACATGTTTTGAAAACCTAACTCTATTTCCCTTAATCCTATCCTGCCCCCCCATTTATTCTATTCTTTCTTTTGACCCTGCCCTCCTCAGAAGTATTTGCTTCTGATTACCCCCTTACCTAATCTGCCCTCCTTTCTATCATCCCCCTGCTCTCTTGTTCCCTCTCCCCCCTATTTTCCTGTAGGGTAAGACAGATTTCATACCCAATTGAATGTGTATGTTATTCCCTCCTTAAGCCAAATCCTATGAGAATAAGATTCACTCATTCCCTCTCACCTTCCCCCATTTCCCCTCCACTGTAAGAGCCTTTTCTGTTTTTTTGTGAGATAATTTACCCTGTTCTACCTCTCCCTTTCTTCTTCTCCTAGTATAAACTTCTCTCATCCATTAATTTTATTCTCCAGATATGACCCCTTAATCTTCAACTCACCCTGTGCCTCCCTATCTATCTATCTATCTATCTATCTATCTATCTATCTATCTATCTATCTACATACATATAATTTTCCCCCCTCCAACTACCCTAATACTGACAAAGGTCTCATGAGTTATAAATATCATCTTTCCATGCAGGAATGTGAACAGTTCAACCTTAATAAGTCTCTTATGATTTTTCTTCCCTGTTTACCTCTTCATGTTCTACTTGAGTCTTGTGTTTGAAAGTCAAATTTTCCATTCAGATCTGATCTTTTCATCAAGAATGCTTCAAAGTCCTCTATTTCACTGAATGACCATTTTCCCCTGAAGGATTATACTCAGTTTTGCTGGGTAGGTGATTCTTGGTTGTAATCCTATCTCGTTTGCCCTTCCTAATATTGTATTCCATGTCCTGTGGTCCTTTAATGTAGAAGCTGATAAATCTTGTGTTATTCTGATTGTGTTTCCACAATACTTGAATTGTTTTTTTCTGGCAGCTTGTAATATTTTCTCCTTGATCTCGGAACTCTGGAATTTGGCCTCAACATTCCTAGGAGTTTTCCTTTGAAGATCTCTTTCAGGAGGAGATCTGTGGATCCTTTCAATTTCTATTTTGCCCTCCAGTTCTAAAATATCAGGGCAGTTTTCCTTTATAATTTCTTGAAAGATGGTATCTAAGCTCTTTTTTTGATCATGGCTTTCAGATAGTCTAATAATTTTTAAATTATCTCTCCTGGATCTATTTTCCAGGTCAGTTGTTTTTCCAATGAGATATTTCACATTGTTTTCTAATTTTTCATTCTTTTGGATTTGTTTTACAGTGTCTTTCTTTCTTTCTTTCTTTCTTTCTTTCTTTCTTTCTTTCTTTCTTTCTTTCTTTCTTTCTTCCTTCCTTCCTTCCTTCCTTCCTTTCTTTCTTCCTTTCTTCCTTTCTCTTTCTTTCTTTTCTCTTTCTTTCTTTCTTTTCTTTCTTCTTCTTTCTTTCTTTCTTTCTTTTTCTTTCTTTCTCTTTCTTCTTCTTCCTTTCTTCTTTCTTCTTTCTTCCTTTCCTTTCTTCCTTCTTCCTTTCTTCCTTCTTCCTTCCTTCCTTCCTTCCTTCCTTCCTTCCTTCCTTCCTTCCTTCCTTCCTTCCTTCCTTTCTTTCTTTCTTTCTTTCTTTCTTTTCTTTCTTTCTTTCTTTCTTTCTTTCTTTCTTTCTTTCTTTCTTTCTTTCTTTCTGCTTTTAGGCAATTGGGGTTAAGTGACTTGCCCAGGGTCACACAGCTAGTAAGTGTCAAGTGTTTGGTTTGAGGCCATATTTGAACTCAGGTCCTCCTGACTTCAGGGCCAATACTCTACCCACTGTGCCACCTAGCTGCCCCTTTGATTTCTCATAAAGTCACTGGTTTCCAATTGTTCTATTCTAATTTTTAAGGAAGTATTTTCTTCAGTAATCTTCTGGACTTCTTTTTCCATTTGGCCAATTTTTCCTTTTAGGGCATTCTTCTCCTCATTGGCTTTTTGGACCTCTTTTGCCATTTGGGTTAGGCTATTTTTTAAGGTGTTATTTTCTTCAGTATTTTTTTGGGTCTCCTTTAGGAAGCTGTTGACTTGTTTTTTGTGATTTTCTTGCATCACTCTCATTTCTCTTCCCAGTTTTTCCTCTACTTCTCTTGCTTGCTTCTCAAAATCCCTGTTGAGCTCTTCCAAGGCCTGGGACTGATTCATATTTTTCTTGGAGGCTTTGGATGTAGGAGCTTTGACTTCATTGTCTTCTTCTGGTTGTATGTTTTGATCTTCTTTGTCACCAAAGTAAGATAATGTAGTCTGACTCTTTTTGCGCTGCTTGCTCATGATCCCAGCCAATTACTTGAGTTTTAAACACTTTGTTAAGGTAAGAGTCTTCTTCCAACATGGAGAATGTACTGTCCCAAGCTTCTGGGGTTTATACAGCTGTTTTCAGAGATATTTGTAGGGAATCATAAATTTTCAGTTCTTGCAAGGTGGTATGATAAAGGGCAAAGTGTTTCCTCCTTTCCTGGCCTGTGCTCTGGCCTGTTAGTGACCACAAGCACTCCTTTCTGGCCTGGAACTGTGAAGGTTTCCTCTCCACTGCCACTACAAGCTCCACCACACCAGCAGTCCTCCTCAATCCAGGACCGCCACCCAGAACTGTGACCCAAATCCTAGCACAGGCAAAGCAAGAGATTCCTGCCTCAGCACTGGCAAAGAGATCCCTGTAATCTCCCTCTGATCAGCCACTTGATTCCCCCTCAGTCTGTGGGCCAGAAGCTCAGAATGTAGCCACTGCCCAGGTGTCTGGGCTCTGCGCTGTGTGCTCTGGAGCTGGCTCTGACCTAGCTCCTTTCTCACCACAAAAACAGATTTTTCCCACTGACCTTCTAAGTTGTATTTTTTTGTGGGTTGTTTGTGGGTTGAGAGGTCTGGAAGCCACCACAGCTGCCTGAGATTCCGTCCTCTGAGGCCTGCTCCAGGTTTGCTGTGGCCTGCACGCCCACGCCGTGCTGTGCTCCTCTCCCAGCCTAGCGTGATATACCTTTCTGGTCAACCATCCAGGCTGTCTTGGGCTGAAAATTTGCTTCACTCTGTCTTTTTGTGGGTTCTGCTCCTCTAGAATTTGTTTAGAGCCATTTCTTATAGGTATTTGGAGGGGTTTGGGGGAGAGCTCAAGCAAATCACTGCTTTCACTCTGCCACCTCAGCTCCACCTCCGGGACTTCCACATGTCTTCATTTTAAAACAGAATAATACCTGTGTGGGTTTTTTGTTATAGTTTTACAAATTTTCTGAAATATTTCTCAATTACATTTTAATCCAGTTCAAGTTACACAGAGCAGTGTCATGAGTCACAACGTGGTGGCTTGGCAGTGTGTTTGACACCTCTGCATTAGACCATGCCAGTGTTCATGTTGTGTGAACTACATTTCTCATTTCTTCCTTCTCATCTTCAATTCTCTAGGTTGAAAAGTTCTCCAAATATTTTGTGAGGAAATATGGTGTAGAAAATAAGGTGCTTACAAGTTTTAGGCTTGCTTCTTATCAAAAGAAGAGTTAATTTCCGAATGGTTTTGAACAGAAATCCTTATTATAATAATTTAACTTTGAATTCAAGTAAATGAATTGTAGCTGTACAAGTAGTAATGGTAAATATTTTAAAATCTCAACTTTCACAAGGTCCATTATCTTACAAGTTTTCAATTTTCAGGGACCTATATCATCAATGTGCTTATGTTTGACAATGAGGCAAGAAACATCCTGAAATATTTTGCAAATTCTGTTTTTTTCTTTCAAAATTCCTGTTATTATGCTAATATTTATAAGTTACATTGTCTTCTTAATTGGACTGTTTATGGACTAAGCACCCTTCATCATGTACATGCTCTTAATTTACTTCTGTACTTTCCTATAATTCTGTGTTCTTCTGTAAGTCCAGGGGTAGAGAATCTGCAGTCTCAAGGCTACATGTGGCCCTATAAATCCTCAAGTGCAGCCCTTTGACTAAATTCAAACTTTACCGAACAAATCTCCTTAACAAAAAAGATTGTCCTATAAAACTTAGACTCGGTCAAAAGGCTAAATCCAAGGACCTGGAAGGCCATATGTGGCCTAAAAGCTACAGGCTCCCCACCCCTGCTTACCTCTATCCTCAGTAACTTTTGCCCTAATTTATCATAACCTTCAAAGAAAACATTAACTTTAAATATTCTTTTAGTTGCTTTTTGGTTTTAAAACAAGCTTTTCTCTCTCTGGGTTCACTTTGGGATTCATCTTTAATCTGGGAGTCCCAATGTAGTGTCCTCAGGTCAGCTATTTAAAAGAAGTAAGTAAAAGAAGGTTAAATGAATTCCAACTTGACTTATTACTATGCCTTTGGAGAATGAAGGTAGT